TTGCTTTCTATGTGGAACTATCAGGGAGGGCACTGATTAAGGCAACGCAAGAGTTTAAACGGGCAAGCATTTTGTATCCAAACTCATCCAGTGTCAGCTTTATCCATATTTTTGCTTGCGTGCCGCGACCGACATTCTCATAACGAATTTTGGGGCTGCAATTGCCCGCTTGGTACGTTGGTTATGGTTAAACCATTGACGACGATGTGGACTACCGGTGGCTCACACCACTTGCAAAATCATTCTTTCTAGGTTCAATATTTTTTCCACTGTTCATATTATCTCTTCCAAATTTTTCACTTTTGACCTCGTCGTCACTTTTTACTGTAGACCTCGTCGTCCAAGAAGATGCTTAGTTTACAAAACAATTTACATATCGTAAATAATCACAAAACTTCTCCACGCCGGAATTGTCGTCGTCGTCAATGGGTTAAACGGGTATGGAGACGGATCTTCAAATACAGTGTCCTGGCAGAATTGTATTCCAGGTTTTTACCTTCTCGGTGTTTTTTCGCCGTATGAAACCCATATATGGGCTTTTCCGTGCATGAAAATGGCAGAAGCATTTTTGAAGGCTTTTCAGGTCCGCATTTAATTAAAATACGTCGGAAGTCTTCCGCGTTTGGCCTTCCTCGTTTCGGACTCCGCCCGCTTACTCGTATTTTCACTGAATGCGAACCTGGAAAGCTTCGAGAAAAGCCCATTTTCTTGCGTTGAAAGGCCTAAATATTCGGTTTCTCATGGCGAGGAGGCCCCGAAAAGGTTAAAGTAGAAAATGAAATTGCGCCGGTACATTGCCTTTAATACGAAATCCAGGTGCCATTTGGGCAGTTCTTAGTTAGGCCTCACCATCAGATTCCATGTGATATTCATCCGCCATGACTTACCTGGACGCTGTTTCTGTACTACATCCCGCAATTGCAGATCTTGACTATTGTAGGGTGACCTTCTCGGGCTTGCTCAATGCGATAGATGGCGTTGGTTCTGCTGAGGAACGAATTCTGTTCATGACTACTAATTATGTAGAAAGGCTGGATCCCGCTTTGATTCGCCCGGGGCGAGTAGATAGGAAGCAGTTGTTTGGTAACGTCACCAGAAGTATGGCAGAAAAGGTGAGTTCAAATGATTTGATCCGAATCTTCCTCCCGCGCTAAAATGCTCGTTTTTCAGATGTTCAGTCGTTTTTATGGCCTAGCCGAAGACGACCCACTTTGTGAAGAGTTCGTAGAGCGCGTATTTTCGCTTGGCTGCGAGTTATCTCCTGCGCAGTTACAAGGGCATTTTCTTCTATATAAACAATCACCACGGATAGCGATGGAGCGTGTGGCCGATCTCAACGCTTCTTCAAAGTAATAATGTCGTAGTAGCAGCTTTGTCGGCTGTTCTTAGGATATATATGTATATATA